TTCACCTTTTTAGTGCCCCCCTCACACCACTACATCTCTTATGCACCCATTTCTGACATCCTATACACAATACCGAGTTAGCCTTCACTCTCCTGTCACATACCCCACAGGGGTCTATTTTACTTATCACTCGCTCCCCACCTTCCCCACTCACCATTACCTTCGTTTTACCAATATTAACTTTTAACCCTTTTTTTTCAATAACACTTTTCCATCTGTCAAATTTTAACTGCAATTCTTCCATGCTATCAGCCATCAAGACTAAATCATCTGCATACAAAATCTCAAACAACAACCCCTCCATTATGTTTTCACACACAACATCCATCACATTTGCAAACAGAAACGGTGGTAACACTGATCCTTGATGCACTCCTACCTTAACACTAAAAGCGTCCGACATCCCCCTTCCAACCCTCACCTTTGTCTTTGCCCCTTCATACAGCTGCATCACAGCTTTTACAAGTCTCTCATTCACTCCTTTCTTCCTCAACGCCCATTCAATGACCTTCCTCGGTACTCGATCAAAAGCCTTTTCTAGATCCACAAAACACATGTACAATCTTCGTTTCTTCTTTCTATAATTCTTCTGCAACATTCTCACCATGAACAACACATCCACCGTTCCCCTACCAGGCATAAACCCACACTGCATTTCATTAACTGTCACCATATTTCTCAACCTCCTCTCAAGCACCCTCTCCACTACCTTCATTCCGTGCTCTAGCAATTTCACACCCCTATATGACCCACAATCTCTCACATCTCCTTTGCCCTTATACAACGGCACCAACACACTGTGTCGCCAATCCTCAGGTATACCTTCATCATCAAACATACTGTTAGCAATTCTCATCATAACTTCAATTCCTATCACCCCACTCGCTTTTATATGTTCTGCCGCCACTTCCGAAACCCCTGTCGCCTTACCTAGTTTCATTTCTCTAACTGCTTTCACTTCTTCCTCCATCGTCACCTTCTTTATAGGTCCGTGTGTGACTGCGGATTCCACATCCAATTATGAATACACAAATAATACAAAATAGTGTACACACAGAAATTGAAATTTCTGCAAACACAATCGAATAAAATTCTATGAAAAAAATTTTACTTTCATACTTTGCAAACACACACACACAGACACACACAGACAAAACACACAATACAAACATAAAGAAATAAATCAATCGCCATAAGAACAGATACAAAATATTAATATTAAAACGTAACACTCTAACGTAACGTATCAATCGCCATAAGAACAGATACAAAATATTAATATTAAAACGAATCAATTTTATTGGATAAGTTTATACTTAAATTTTACTAAACATTTATATATTCATATAAACAAAAATTTTATAGATAAAAATAGATTAATACAAAAAACAAATAAGTTAATAATAATATAAATAAACCAATAAAAAAATCAACAAAAACAAACAAATTGCTAAAACACAAAATATTACACACACACACACACACACACACACACACACACACACACACACACACACACACACACACACACACACACACACACACACATACACACACACACACACACATACACACACACACACACACATACACACACACACACACATACATACATACATACATACATACATATATACATACATACATGCATACATACATACATACATACAATACAAAGATACAAACACTGCTGTTGAACAACGCTCGGCAGCTGCTGCTGCAGCAGCAGTTGCAGCGGTAGCCACATCATTAAAACATAGCATGATAAGGTAAAATATTTGTCTTGATAAGACGCCCGCTCGTATTGAAAAATGTCCTCATCAACACAGAACTTCATATGTTTCGACTCGTAAATAATAATACAAATAAATATAAATAAAGAAATAAAATAAAGTGAAAAACAAATATCATATTCTTTCTCTCTCTTTCCTCTCTCTCGTTCATTTTGTCATTTCTTCTTTTTCTCATATATTTATATACACAACACAGGTATATCTTCGTAACAAGAAATCCCAACAAAATGCACCTACATACTAAATATAAATACAAATAAATTATGAAAAAATTGTAAAAACGCATTTTCCCCATAAAAGGTTCAGAGTTATTTCCAACCAGACACATTAAACAAATATAAAAAGCATGAAAGCAATCATACACCACATCAATGATTGTTATAAGTAGATAGGTAGGTAGGTTGGTGCTTATATTTTGTAAAGTAAGAAGCAATGGAAAGCAGTGTCTCAACATGGGACATTTCATTTGCGAAGAGATTCCAGATGCAATAAGTGCTTTATGTGTTGACTCACACCTATTCACATGTGCTCTTTGTCTCTTGTTGATTATGTACAAAAATTCACACACACACACACACCCACATACATACACACACAAACATACATACACACACACGCGCGCGTTCACTTGAAATACAGACACACCAAACACACACACAGACATACACAAATATAAAGATGGATATATAAATTGGAATATATATTAAAGACACATAAGCGATATCTCCATAAAGCATATAAACCATAAATGATAAACGAACGAATGAACAAACAAATGAATGAACAAACGAATGAATGAATAAACGAGTAAAAGAACAAACGAAAACAAGAACGAACGAACGAAAGAACAAACAAACGAATAAATAATAAATGAATTCACTTATGTGCGAACGGCAAGCAGCGTTACATTTGAGTCAAATCAAAACCTACATTATGCACTCCTGCTTTTAAATGCATAATTCTCTGGCACTCCACTTACGACGCGAAAATAATCATTTTTTTTATTACAGCATTTCTTTATTACTACTGCTTCTACTCGTCATAGTATATATAGGCTTTGTAGTAAAGACTGCAGTAAAACTCTAGAGCCAGTAGCATCAAAACTGTTACTTCTATAATGGTTTACCTCTTATTACTATGTCCGGTGTTGAAGTCATTTAATTACAATACAATTGCTAATAGCATAGTATATCATTATTATTAGTTGTTGTTGTAGAAGTAACAGCAACAACTGCAACAGTAGATGTAGTAGTAGTAGCATAGTAGTAGCAGCAGCAGCAGTAGTAGTAGTAGTAGTAGTAGTAGTAGTAGTAGTAGTAGTAGTAGTAGTAGTAGTAGTAGCAGCAGCAGAAGTAGTAGTAGAAGTAGTAGCAGCAGCAGAAGTAGTAGTAGAAGTAGTAGTAGCATTAGTAGAAGCAAGAGTAATGCATATTTTATTTGTCACCGTGAATAAACGCGAATCCCAATTCTTAAAAATTATTCTAGATGTAGTTTTAACTAGTTTGTTATATTCAAGGTGTGTTGGGAGAAAAATTATACTGTTAATAAACACAATAATGGAAATTATAAAACTAAAAGTTTAAATAATATAATTCAACGAAATAATTTATTTACAAAAGCATTTAGGCTATTTTTTCTAACATTTTATTTTAACACGTGAAACAGTTACTCAGTAGTAAAATGTTAGTATAAACAAAAATTTTTAATACTACTACTTGCTACTACTACTCTTACTACTACTACCACTACTACTACTACTACTACTACTACTATCATTACTTCTAATACCAAATACCACTACTATCACTACTACTATTACCACACCACCACTACAACAACAACAACTCCTACTACTACTTTTACTACTACTACAACTACTACTTTTACTACCACTACTACTACTACTTTTACTACTACTCCTGCTACAACTACTAATATTACTACCACTACTACTACTACTAGCACTACTACTAAAACTACAACAGCCACTAAAACTATTATTACAAGCAGTGAAATGACTACAGCTAAAAATACTACGGTGGCAATTTTTACTACAATGACGTCAGTCACTCTTCTCGGAGCTTCACGTAACCTCATTGTCAAAATTCGTTCGTTCGTTATTGAGTTTCGGGGTTACACTTTGTCAATGTTATGACGGAAAAGGTGGTGAAGATGAGGATGAAGATGACGGAAGGAATGAGGATGATGATGAGAAAGATGATTGAAAGATGATGGAGAAAGGAAAATGATGAGGATAGAGATGATGATGACGTGTTGCAGATGAATGAAAAGATGGACTTGATGAATGTGACGTTGTGATGATGTTAGTGGCGCGATGGAGTCAACGAAATAATAGGAAATAAAAGAATGATGGAAAATAAGATGATACGATGAAGAAGATGATGATAACATAATGAAGATGATGACGAAAATGATGATGAAGATGATGATGAAAATAACAACAAAGGGACTATGATCGCTGTAACATTGATGATGGCGATATAGCTGACATCGAATGATGAAGATGATATTAACAAAATCCTAGTCTTCATAACTGATAATATGATGATGAAGAGGATGATGATGAAGACTATGAGTTAAGAGAATCACTCTGGTTTTACTTTAATTTCACTTCAATGACAATTAATTAGAAAACCACTCAAAATAAATCGATCAGATACAAAAATAAAGCAATTTCAACAGTTTCAGTAAATATTAATTCAAAATATTTTATTATTGTTATTAATAAATATAATAACGTCAACAACAACAACAAAAACAACAACAACATTAATAATAATAATAATAATACAAGATGTAATGAGGAAAAGAAATATAACAATTATTTTCTTTAATAATCAAAAAAGATAATTTAATTTTCAATTTACAAACCTTTCTGTAAGCCATGCCGAATGCCCAATAACGCAATTCTTTACTGATAAAAATGTGAATTCACTCTATATAATTATTAAATTGCAAATTAATTATAATTATTATAAAATTAGATATGTTGAGTTCAAAGATTGCTTTATATAAGTGTATCTACTGTTGATATGGTTGACAAATTGTATGGAAAATAATAATAGGCAAATAAAATGAATTTGTTTATATTGTATGTTGTTGGTTCGTTGTTGTACCTTTGTTTGTCGGATGATGTATCTGTCAATATTAATTTGCTTTTATTAATTTACGTTTAAATATTTTCTAGTCAATGCAATTAAACCTCATTCCCAGCAAACACTTTCAATAAATAACGCTTCTTAGAACAGGACAGCTCAGAATGTGATTGAAGATTTTTTTTTGATGTTTCGATTGAAAAAATAAAATTGTTATTATTTCTACATTAAGATGGGCAAGCCGATGTGATGTATAAATAGTTGGTTTGCTTCTTATTTATTCTATTCGAATGAATAATTACTTTTGTTAAAAACTATTTTGTGAACGAAACAACGTTTCGTTCAAGGTTATTTTCGACAGTTCGATTGTTTTTGGTGCTCGCGAATAGCGTTAAAAAATTACTGAATGTTAATATTTTCTTTATTATTTTAAATGTACACATACATATTTTCGTCCAGTTTAAAAACAAATTTCCACCGATATTTCTGAATAAATCCAAAATATTAATATTGTTGTTTAATAAATTTTTGGATGTATGTTTGAATCAGTGTTTGTTTTATAAGGGAGATCTCTATGGTCAGTATAAGGATATCTTGAATATGTAGAAAAGGTATGGATGTTGGAATGTATGCCCTGTCCTATCCATGCAACACATGTGAGATGTGTTCATACACCTGTAATATTGTTGTATGTGGGATCATTGAAATGAATGCGAGTGGTGTACATATCTTGTACGTACATATATTGAACACGTTACGTCACATAGTTTGGGAGCGTATGCGTGTGTTATAGAGACTTGCATGTATGTAACAGATATTTATGGCTTGCCTTCCGCCGAAGCCGTCATCATTTCCATTCTGAAATGTTTTTTCCACACCTTTCAAAGAAAAGTATATCTTTGTTTTGCTAAAAAATAAATTAACAAACTAATAATTCAAAAGCAATATTCGAAAACAAAATTGTTTGTTTTTATTTCACGAACAGTTTTACAAATTGTGTCTCATTTGAAAAAAAAGGTGCTCATTCATCTGTTTAATAATAAAAGTGTTAAAATTCAGTGCATTCTGGTGCGACTGTCACCAATCCAACTGTCTGCATTTGGTTCTTGAGGAAAACTGAAAAGGTAGGGCGAAGATGGATTAGGTGGAGTGGAAGGGAAAAAGATGAGACGCGTAAAAAATTTCATCAAACATCATTCGCCTTGAAATTATTTTCTAGGTTTTTTCTTATTTTCCCTACCTAAATATTGTTTTTAAGAATCAAAATAAAACTCATTGATGGCATGAAATATTTTGCTGAAGGTCGAAAACATTATAATTATACATCGGTCAGTGTACATTCGTATGAAGTTGCGATTATCATTATGAGGCAAAATAAAACATAATTTGGAAAAAATTATTAGTTTCAAGCAATCAGAAATTTTTTATCATAGTTTTATCTTTCCTCTCCCTCTCTCTCACACTCTCTTTCTCTCTCTTCCTCTCTCTGTCTTTCAATCTAACTCTCTACACATGCATTATGTACGTTACACTATTATGTAACATATATCAATAATAAATAAATTCGGAAGACATTTGTAAAAATAAGTTACACATCACATTCCATCAATACGAGCATGTTCAAAATAAAGGAACGCTATCACTAATGTGAATTTTCGCGTTTAAACGTTTGTATGTATGTATGATACATGCTGTGTTGAATGCGTGGATAAGTTTGTATGCATTGATGTGTTGTTGCGTGTGTATGTCCGCGTGCGTGCATGTGTTTGTGTTTACATACACCCTACATATGTTTATGTACATTTGAATGAAATCTCTCAATATAAATGCAATTGGACTGTAAGACTGTCAAACCCCCACCTATTGTTCTCGAGTTTAATAAAATAACGTCACAATTCCAGGAAATAGGAAAGGAACATGAATAAATAAATAAATTGGAGAAGACGGAGCAGCCGAAAGATGGATGTATGAATGAATGAACGTATAATGGAATGGAAGAAAAAAAGAAAAAAATGAAAAGATGAAATGAATGAGTGCATGCATGCATGCAAGCATGAATGAATGAATGAATGTATGTATGTGTGAATAAATGAATGAATGAATGTATGAATAAATGATTGAAGGATCAAATAAGTCAATTAATAAATGAAAAAACGGTTCAAAAATGAAAAAATAAATGAACGATCGACAAACGAATGAATGAAAAACACGAATGAACGAATGGATTACGAACGAACTGAAATATTAAAAAAACGATAGCTAGGTATAAAGATGTAATTACAGATGAAAGGTTGGTTTGAATGGTTTTCAGTAAAGGTATTTTATGATTTGGCATTTCAGATGCTATATAAATGAATCATTATACAATGTATGGGTTACTAAATGCTCGGAAATCTATATTTTGAAAACAGAAAACAAATGAACATAAACAAAACATAAGACATGCCTACATATAATATTCAAGCATTTCCATTGACGTTCAACTGTAACAGTGTATCCGTGTGGATCGAACCTGTGCTGGCTGAAGGGCTGTCTAATAAATAAGAAATCTTCAAATATCAAGATATAATTAATAATGGAAATGTTCATTCCTCTGTGTACGTGTGAGTGCATTTCAATTGTATACTCAAAGACGTTACAGTACGTGCATTTTCATACAATAAACCTATATCTTGCAATTTTACATGTTATGTTATATTATTCTAAGCTCGTTCATCGTACAAACAATCCCCATCAGAAAACATTGACACTTGTGAGTTGGAACATTTAATACATCAGTCACGTGTGACCATGCGATCATGTGACCATGTGGCCACGTGATCTTGTGGCGGCAAAAAGCTTTTGAGTCCTTTTTTACATTCAAAGATTTTTTTGAAAAGGACATTCCAATTAAATGTCTGAATGACAATTTGTTTTGGAGTAAAGCACGTCCAGTTTAAGAAAAAAAATTAAATTCACATTATACAGAAGAAGGTTGAACTGAATTCTAAAAAAATTTGTAAAAGTATTTTATCCCAATGCATTAAAAATAAGAATTCTACAAGAACAAAACTGAACCATGAATTGACAGTGCAAACAAACAATGCAAAAACAAAACACCCGAAAGTTGGTTAAAAGTAGTCGAAAAGTTATAAAAATAACATTTGAAGAGTAAGTGGAAAAAAAACCGTGAAAATGGTGAAAAAATCCTTTGCGATGACTTGGACAAGTGTTAACGATCGTGCCAAAGAAGAAGAAAATGACATTGTTAGGTGTTTTTTTCTTTATTGCTTCAGTAAAACTATACGCTGGTCTGTATTCTTTGGCAAATATTTGTCTACGTCTGTTTGTTTTTTGTATCTGTGAGTGTGTGTGAGCAAGAGTTTATATTAGTTTTGTATTTTTTGTATATGTTGTTCAGTTTGACGTTTTTGAAAATCAGATGTCAATGTCAAGAAGAATTTCATTAATACAATAACAATAATTGTTTCCGAACTTGTTCACATTTGAAACAATCGTGTTTGCGTGTTTGTTTGTTTTTTAAAATAATGTTGAATTTAAAAAAATGAATTCATTTAAAAATATCAAAAGATTAAAAATGATCTGTTGCAGAGTGAGAAGATGCTTCAAAGGAGAGGCAGGCAGATGAGCAATCAGGCAGAGAAACAAAAACTAAGCTGTTGGTGGCCAGGTTAAACATAAATATGAAAGCAGATAGAAACAAACATCTGGAACATTTTTTAGAAGTTTTCAGCGCCTTTATGGGATCGTTTCCAGGAAATTGAATTGCAAATTGACCAACTGTTATTAACGAGTTTAAATTACTTCCACTAGATTACCAGCCACTCTTTCGATTTGGCATTCCATTCATTAGTTACGCTGGTTTCCATTTCACATTTTGTGAGCTCATTCAAATTGAAGCATACGTGTTTGTTGAGGCGACGTGGGGAGGTAAATTATTTGTTTAAAATTTATCCGTATTATTTCGGGAACAAATTTTAATATTAATTTGAATAATAATTATAACGATGATATTTTTATAATTTGAAATAATCGGTTTTAACAAAAAAAAAACAGACAAAAACAAAACAATCGGATATCAAATCATAGATCACAATTATAGTTACAAATGATGGATCATAGCAACAAGGAAACTTCATTATAAAAATAAAAATCAATCAAAGTTAGATTCCTTTACTAAAAATTATATGTTAAACAGCTTTAATGTTCTAAATTGGATACAAAAACTTATAAAGATTGCCATAATGATGAAGATTCCGTTTGTGGTTGATGATGACGATCTTCCAATTTTATCTGTGTAATAAATTAAAAATATTAGAAAAAATCATTAAAAAGTTTGTAATATTTGTAAAACTAAGCAAAAACTTTCTTGCTCATAAAATTGTTTCAAAATTTTATTTTAAGAAAGAAGAAGGAAAATGAAAGAGCACGCTCACCTGGTTCAACCGTCATTTCGCGACTTGCATCTCCGGCATCATTTTTTGCTTCGCATCTAATCCAGGTGGAACCGACAATTAAATTTGGAGAGATGGTTTTTAACTGGGAGGCGTCTTTTGAAGCCGGTATTATAACAGTTCTAGTGAGTTCTTTATTAATATAGTGGCCAGTACCAAAATGTTTAACATCGGTCAAATGAATGGTAATATCAGGTCCCGGATCTCCGGTCGAGGAGCAATTAAATTCGATCCTGTTCAAACGTGACAGTTTTGAAATTTCAGGAATGGACGGCTTTTGACAGGTGAATAAATGGTCTGGAGCAGTTCGGATGGCGCTGTTGTTGCTGTTCTGGCATCTCATCTTGTCATCATCCAGTATTTTGTTGTCGTCTAATTGGTTGAGAAAGTTTTTCAGCCATTTCATGTGACAGTTGCAGTGATATTTATTAAATCCCAAATGCAGTTTGTTCACTGTTTGAAACAACGTCTCAGCCGATTCGGAAATTATTTGCATCCTGTTGTGATCGAGACGAAGATCATTCAGACTCTTCAGTGTTTGAGTCATGTGGGTCCAGTTCAGACTTGTTAAGAAATTGTTTCCTATATCAAGAACTTCTAAATTTTTAAATGGCGTGTAGAATGAGGGCGCAAACGATTTCAACCAGTTCCCTCTTAAAATTAATGTTTTCAAGTTAGTAATCATCAAATTAGAGTCGATAGGTGGTGTCGGTAGAGTAAAATTTTGTTTTGAATTTTCAACCGTCAAATGACTAACTTGCGAGTTGGCGTTATAAACGAAGTTGAAACTGTTGGTAGACAGATATCGGTTATCTTTCATTGTTAAATCCTTCAATTTATAATTTTCAGAGAAAGCATCGTAACTGATTTCATGCACTTCAGACTGGCCAACGTACAAACATTCCAACTTCGAAAATTTGTTGAAATGCGTTTTCTGCCAGGTGAATTTGAAGTTGAACTCTTTCAATGAGAGATAGATAACATCCTTCGGAATGACGTTGGGCAAGAGAGGTACTGGTCTGTTTCTGCCGGTGCAGTAGGCCACCACACCCTCCACCATCAATGAATTGCATCCTTTTCTTTCATATTCTACTCGACATACCTCAAAGCAGTAGGTCAGCTCCAGAAATAATATAGACGTTAAAATTATAAAAATGTAACAAATATTTTTTCTCATTTTTCAACAAGTTTAAATGAACTTAGAAACTGCACGAGAGAACTCATAAATAAAAAACTAAAATGTAAACAGATCTTTTTACTGCAGAGACAGCGAGTGAACAAACTGATCAGAATCCATGAAAATTAACATCAGCAAGGTCGGTCAACACCAACAACAACATGGAAGCCAGCAAGCCAGCATGCTCACATTCGCACACGCTCATGCGCCATTATAGACTATTTATTTACCTGAATGGAAAAGATATATACATATATAACATTTGATACGTATTCAACTTTATAATTAAATCAAATAAACATCGGCACATACACTGGCAAGTAAGCAATTTAATTAATTCAATTAATTCCGACCATCAGCGGAGCCAAACGAGTGAACGAACATCGTCTAAATGAGATAGCACGGATCAATCGACTTTCAATTGCATTGAATAAATTTATTCAACCTCCCCTAACCTAACACTTATTTATCTCTCACGTCCGAATCAAAGATGAGATTTTTTGATGACTACTGCTGCTACTATCGTTACCACTACGGCTATTACTCACCTTGATGCAGTCAATTATAATCTGCTAAACACAAATTTTTAAAACTGCAAATTCTTCAAACATTTTACCATAGATGTCTCGATGTAATAATAGGCTATTACATCGGGATGTCTATGCATTTTACATATTTAAATTCCCAGTGTAGAAAATCAAATTTACACGGACACACGCATACAGACAAAACGACAGGCAAGAGGTAAAAAACGAGCTAGCTAGTGACGTAATTAATAGATAGACCTACGAACTATCTCATCCAAGTAGTCTCTGTTGGCTGCCTGCTGGATTGAATGATTCTCAACTAAACTACTGAATTAAACTAAAACATTCATTAAATTAGGTTTAGTCTCAATAAATTCAAACACGTTAAAACAGTAAGTTAGTATCTGTACTTAGTAGTTGTATATATATATATATATATGTGTGTGTGTGTGCGCGCGCATGTGTGAGAGATTGTGTTATGGCTCAAATGCAAGCACTGCATTGCAATCCTAAACTTAAACAATTCAGCTATCGACACCTAATAACGTAGTTTATGTTGTAACGGTGAATAGGACAAGATCACATAATAATAAATATAATAATAAAAAACCACCAACGACAAACAACAATAATAATAATACGATAACAACGGTAATTGTAATAATAATAATATTAATATACCTATGAATAAATTTATACTGTATTATAGCGAAAGGTTTGGAGTAGAAAAATAATAATTATTATTATAGTTAAAATTAAATGCAATAATAATAACATAATTGATAAAGCATTAACAGAAAATTACCATTCATGAAAAATAAATAAATAGGAAAAAACAAGAAATAAGAATGTTAAGAGATTAGCTTCACAACCTACTGTGAAATTAGTGAATCAATGAAAAAATTTGTGACTCACATTATATACATATATATAATACTAAATATGGAAAACTATTTCTCCAATTAGAAACAAAAATAATTTAATGATAATATAAATAATGATAATAATAATAATAAACTCAATTACAACAAATATATATGATAAATTAATTAATTAAAGTCAGGTGGAAAAATAACTGAAAAACAATTAAAAATATCAACACTAATAATAATAATATAATAATAAATTAAATGATTGTCATATCAGGGGGATATTCCATCACATCAGAAGTTAGGCGCTTTTTAATGATGTGGATTTTCTTATTGGAGGCCGTCAATAGGTAGATGCAGCTCTCCAAGTAAACTATGATAGAAAAAAAGTTCACTTTAAGAAAAAGAGCTTGAATATTTTTAATAAAAGTTATTGCCTTATATTGAAAATAAATAGAATATTACCAGATGATAGTAAATTAATTCATATAAAATTAATTGTAATATAATATATTATATAGATCATAAAATATGACAATGAAAATGATGATTATTTCTAATTAGGAAATATTTGGCAACCTGAAACTCGTTTAAAGTTAGACGCCTTTAAATCAGGGTCTGACTCTAGAAGGGACATGGCGTGTTTCATTATGCTGTGAAAACGAAAGGCCAGATTCTTATCGTTGCTTAATTGACCAGAAGACTTTAAAAATTTTTAAAAATATTTAATTTTGATTTTTCAATAAAAAAAGAATAAATTACAAGTTATCATTATTTATAATTTATATAATAATTTTAAGGCAGCGTAAATAAATTTTTTTATGTTTTAAAATTGTGTGTGTAGTAAAAATGCTAATGTTTAATTAATTTAATTAAATTTTAATGTTGTTAAAATAATGAAATTTAACCAAATATTTTTACATTGAGAATTATACCATCGTCTGATATAACCATGTTTCCTAGCACATCTGGATTCTGCATGTCACAACCTAACTAACTTCTAAAATTAAAAAATAGATAATTTTAAGTTAATACAATTTTGAAATATAATTTAAAATGAATTTTGTTATTTGAATTTCAAAATGAAAGAAATTAATTTTGAATCATGTGACACAAAAAATAATAAAGGCACGAATTTAAAATCGGATTAAAAATGAAATAAAAATTAAAAAAATTAGTCAGCCTTACTTGAAACGCTTTAACGATGAAATAAACTAAAATAAATGACGATTAAACTATTAAGTATTAATTATGAACTTTATTTAAATAGTTGAAGACCATTAATAAAGTTAAATTTACTTTTAAAAAAACATTGAGCTTAAAGTTTATGGAACAGTTTATGAAGTTCTTGTGTCAAAAATTTTGGATAAATCAAACGAAAATTTATTGAAATGTATAGATAAATTATTAGAAAAATCAAATGACAATCTGAAAAAATTATTGATGTTTCCAATAAAAACCTAGAAAAATTGTTTGAAAAGTCAGACCAGAATCTAATTCTAGTATTAGAAAAATGTAATGACAACCTGCGCAAAATAGTAGCCCATTCCGAGAGCCTTATGAGCAAGCTGTTCGAAACAACAATAATCAGAATGGAAGCTCTAAGTAATAGCTTCGAAAACGCCGTTAAGAGCATGTCCGATGCCGTGACTGGTAGTATGAAAGAACTTCACTCCGCTATGTCAACACTGGCCACCAGTGTTACTGATTGTCAAAAGCAGGTAACTAAACTTACTGAATCTCCCATGCTTGAGACAGTGACTAGGGCCCTTTGGTCAGTGGAGCAGGAAAGGAAAGATGAAGAACGTCGGTCTAAAAATGTTATCATTTCCGGTCTCGAGTTGCAGCCAGGATGTAACGACAAAGATATGGTTTTATCGTTATGCGAGAACCACCTCACGGTCAAGCCAACAATTGCTAGAACTCGCCGTATCGGAAACCACAGGTTATGTGTCACGCTAGACAATTCATCGGCAGCTGAGGACCTGATTGCCTCATCAAGGATCCTCCGCTCTTCTTCAACAACAAAAGGTATCTTCATCAACCCTGACTTTCCAAAAGGCAGGCCGAACAAGCCTTCTTGATCAGACAGGAGAGACGTCGCATCAGAACTACCAACAACAACTCTAAAAATGCCCAGCCCTTTCTTTCAGTCCTACAACAATAAACACATTCGTATAGCCTTGGCTAATGTTCGTAGCATTCAAAAGAAGCAAAATGATCTCAATTTATTTTTATCAGTTTACAGACCAGAAATATTTTCTGTTATAGAAACATGGCTTACTCCANATGATCCTGACAACTTATTTTTACCTAGCGGTTATTCTTTTGTTCGCAGAGATCGTGCAACACGTGGTGGCGGCGTGGCTTTCATCATCNATGACACTATTCAATACAAGATCGTTTTCATACATCCCAGTTCTCCCACATAGAAATAGTTTCAATTGATGTTTCCATTTCAAAGAAAAATTATCGCTTCATCTCGTACTATCGAAGTGGTGGTTTTGATAAATCAGCAGAGGAATATGCGTTTGATAGTGCAAGGTGCATCAAAGAACTTAGCAAGGGAGATGTGATTTGCTTGTTAGGTGATTTCAATCTCCCACTAATTAATTGGAATAATTATTCTGCACCAAATAACGTCATCTACAATACTTTTATCGAACTTTTCAATGAATTAGGTCTCTACCAACTTGTCGATCAACCAACTCGTGGAAATAACATTTTAGATTTGATCCTATCTGATGATTCCAGCCTACTTGTCGAGTTAGAGATTTCCTGTCCATTTTCTTCCAGTGATCACAACTGCCTTACCTTTCAAGTTAACTGCATCACTCATAACTCAACTGACAAATTCTCTAGCAATGATAACGACACTTCCTTTTATAATTACAACAGTGCAGACTTCACTAATATGAATGAATGCCTGAGGCTAATCAACTGGGACAATATTTTTCAGTACTGCTTCGACGTCAACACATGTTGGGACATTTTTGAGCGTTTGATAAACAATCATATGGCAACTTACATCCCTCGATCTTTTCTGAGAAGCAAAGAACACGAAATACAGGTTCCCTATCAACTTCGTCAGTCTTATAAAGTAAAACTTCACTACTGGAAAAAATGGAAACGAACTTCTTCACCGGATGATAAAGAGCAGTATTTGAATATGTCACGAAAATGTTCTGGCTTAGCAAACAGTTACAGAATAGTCAATGAACATAAACTGCTTTCTAAATGCAATGTCAGAAGTTTTTACCAGTATGTCAACAAAAAAATGCTATCGCGTCCCAATGTCAGTAGTTTAAAGTTAGATGACAATAGCGTGACCTATGACCCGCTGATAATGGCCAATGCATTCAACAAATATTTTTCTTCCGTATTTACACATGATAACAACTCCAATTGTTCCATACCTTGTCTAACCAACAACTTGTTAGAAGATATTTGTTTCACTCCCCATACAGTTTATACAACTCTGCGTAACTTAAAAAATTCAACCTCGGCTGGAACAGATGGTATACCGAATGTTGTCTTGAAGATGTGTGCATCTAACCTATCAGTTCCATTATGTCATATTTTTGATCTATCATTTAGAAATAACCAGCTACCAACTAAATGGAAATCTGCTATTGTTACTCCCATTCATAAAAAGGGTCCCACAAACCACCCCAGCAACTACCGACCTATTTCACTCTCGAGTTCATGTTGTAGAGCAATGGAAAAGATTATAAACAAAGTAATATTATCCTTTCTTTTAGAAAACAAACTAATTACGCATTTTCAACATGGTTTTCTACCTGGTAGATCAACCTGCACCAACTTAATGCAATTTTATAGCGACTGGATATCACTTCGTCAGAACAAAGAAGGCTGTGACACCATTTACCTCGATTTCCAAAAAGCTTTTGATTCTGTGTCACACTCGAAACTGGTCGGAAAATTGAGATCCTATGGAATAGCTGGTGATCTGCATGCCTGGCTGTCGGATTTCTTGTCTCAACGTTCCCAGCTTGTTAGAATTCAAAACAAATTATCCAATTCAGTATCGGTTACCAGTGGTGTCCCCCAAGGCAGTGTCTTGGGTCCAACTCTATTCATTGTCTTCATTAACTGCTCACAGTACTGAAACTTCTTTACTTAAAATACACAATGATATCCTTCTCTCTAGTGACAATAGTAATCTTACTCTTCTTCTTGCTCTTGACTTTTCTTCAGCTTTTGATACTGTTGACCATACTATTCTCTTGAGACTGCTGCATCTTTCTTTTAATATTACTGATTCTTGTCTATCTTGGTTTTCTTCTTATCTCTGTAATCGTTTTTCTTCTGTTGTTCTCAATAATTCTACTTCTAACTCCTCTACTCTTACTTTCGGGGTACCTTAGGGTTCTATCCTTGGCCCTCTTCTATTTATACTCTATACTTCTGAACTACTTCGTATTATTAATAACTTTTCTTTCTCTAGTCAACTATATGCTGATGATTCTTATATTTATACTTCTTTTCCTCCATCTAATCTCAATAGTGTTCTTCATAATTTATCTCTATGTCTTTCTTCGATTATCGCTTGGTCTGATTCTATGTGTCTTAAACTTAATCCTTCTAAGTTTGAATTAATTTGTTTTAATAAATCTAAACACTCAATTACTATTCCTCCTATTATCTTACCTGATTCTAAAACTCTTGATGTCTCTCATAAGTTTCGTAGTCTAGGTTTTATCTTTGATTCTACTATGTCTCTCTCTTCTCAGATTAATAGTGTTGCTAGAAGTTCTTACTTTCATCTACGTAGAATAAAAATCTTTTGCCTTTTCTTGATGATCCTACTCTTCTCCT